CCCTTCCCCGCCTCCGGCAGCCGAAAGTCCCCCAGCGGAGCCCGTCTGGCCGCTCCCCCGCTCCCTGCCCACCTCCCGGTGTTGAGGCGCCCTCTTTCATTGCTTCGCGGGGAGGGAAAAAACTTTGACTTTTGTGCGTCCCTCCCGGCGTGACGCTGCGCGCTGACGTCACGGGGCGGGGCTTTAATGGTGGTGTGCCGCGAGATTTTTTTCCGGTAAACAGGTGTGCCGTTGCCCAAAAACGTTTGGGAAACACTGGATTAACCTACGTGACACATTAAGGGGATCTTTTGTGCACAAAATTGGCTGCAGGAATTCAGTCTTGGTTTATAGGAACTACATATAAATGGCAAAACTGGCTAAACTGCAAAAGCCCAGTAACATTAGAACGTCAGCAATAACCCCAAATCTGTATGCTAGACGTTCAAGCCCCGACCTTTAACAAAAGATAAATAGATATCAATTTTCATTTAGAAAAAGCCAACAAACATTCTGATCTGACAGAAGCATATTACTGACCTTCTCTTCTGACTTTATTAAACAACTAATTCCTATGAAAGATCAGGTTATTTGAAAATGCCAAAATGGCAATAAATATTAAGAAATCATAATGGAAGCAAGCACAATTACCGTAGGACTATCCCACTTTGTCATGTGAGAAGACATAGTTCACACAGCCTGCAAAAAGAACAGCTTTAATAAGGAAGACTTCTCTTTTCCCAAGTCTCTTCCTTCTATATCAGAGAGGAAGAATTTGCACACTCTAAATCATTATCCCTAGCAGACTGGCTAAATAAGAAGAGAACTTCATGATGATGGCATATGTATGTGTATGTGCATTAATGTGCCCGCAAGGAAATTTTAATCTAATGACGGTAATTGGTGAAATAACTGCTGCCTGTTAGCTGAAAAGAAAGCACGTTTGTTAGGTTTCTGTAAAGCCTGTCATATTATAATATCCTTCATTAAAAATAATCAAAGACAATCAACATCTCCATTCTGCTCATATTTATAATAAACTACTTGGGGGTATACTTAAGCGCTCTGCTTCATTTGTTGCGCCACATGCATGCACTCAGCATAATCAAATGAGAACAGGCACAAGACATGTATCTTTCCATGGTGAATATTAACAATAAAAAGCAATTGATGTGAAGGGGAATCCTGTCTGCTCACATTGTACCAAATGTCACTGCAGAAGACACTTTCCAGATATTACGTGGTATCATATGGAATATTAAACCTGGGATCTGAAGAGTCCCATCAGCATTAGCATCAGCTACAATATTTGGGGGGACCTCCAGGACAAGATGATTTAGTGGACCCACTTAACCTGGAATAGTTGAACCGCACAAACTCAAAATTCTCTGACGCTCGCTGTCCACCTTGCCTTCTTGGGTGCTCTGCATGAAGCAAGAGTGTAATGATGTTGGCATGGTCGACATTTAGTTAGAACAACCAACCTCAGCTTTTTTTTATTGGAAGAAGCAGAAATGGACTTGAAACAATTATTACCAAGGCTGTAACATCATCCTTATATTGCTGTCAAGATGTTAATGGTTAGACTGTTGTAAGATGCTGGAAGATGGTTGTGGGATTGGCCTTCAAAACAGTTCGGGAACACCCATCGACATAAAACATAGTGAGCAGACCTCATAGATAGTTCATAATCTAACACCCATCTTGCAATATCTGTTTCCAGTGAAGTTTCCTGGTTCAATTCATCACGCTTGTTTTGACCTTGAAAACCCAAATGGGCTTAGAGCCTGGGTACTTCATCTCAATGGGCATTTTGTTTGGTGGCTGCATTATAAGCAACTACTAGATCAAGTTAGAAACTGGAAAAAATGCAAACGTACTAAATTGAATTCAACTGATGTAAATCTAATCTCTGCAATCAAGACGCAAACGCCATAGTTTGGCAGAGCATTAGGCACACTTAAAATGCATTCACTATAATGAGATTACATGTCATGTGCATAATTCCAGATTGGATTGTAGCCAGTATTCACTACTCTAATTAGACATTCACAATCTTAACTCCAATAATTGAAAAGACTTGATATTTTTGAAGCAAATTTTGCGACTGAAATAAAGTAATGGGAAAATCAAATATAAAATTTATCTAATGTATACCCCAAATATTTAGTTCAAACACAATTGAAAACCATGTTTTAACAAAATAAACCTCGAAGATTGTAACAATAAAAACATGGCAACCAAAACCATTTTAAAAAGCAGCATAAGAATAAAAATACTGCATAATCAGGAATTGGGATACTCATTCAAAAAGGTCATTTCCATGATTGCCACTCCTCTGACCTCAAAAGATAGGGTGCTCCAACAACGATCATACTGCATAGGCAAAATACATGGGAAAACATATCCAGGTAACTACCGTATTTTTCGCCCTATAGGATGCACCGGCCCATAGGACACACCTAGATTGGGGGGGGGGATAAAGGAAAAAAAAATTTTCCCGCAGGCGCGGGGCTGGGGCGGGGGAAGCCCGAGCTTCCCCCGACGCCAGCCCCCAGAACGGGACCCAGAGCAATGCCGAAGCTGCGTGCAGCTTTGGCATCGCTCTGGGAGCTTGCGGGGCTGAGGGAGGGGGAAGCCCTCTGCCAGCCTTCTAACCAAGTCGGGGACAGCGGGAAAGGCGCACTGCGCCTCCCGCTGTCCCCCGAGTTTGCGGGGCTGGTGACGGGGAGGAGCAGGCTTCTCCCCCCCGCCAGCCTTCTAAACAAGTCGGGGGACAGCGGGAAAGGCGCACTGCACCTCTCCCGCTGTCCCCCAAGTTTGTGGGGCTGGCAGTGGGGCTCTCCTGAAGCCTGGAGAGCGAGAGGGGTCGGTGCGCACCGACCCCTCTCGCTCTCCAGGCTTCAGCGAAAGCCTGCATTCGTCCCATAGGACGCACACACATTTCCCCTTCATTTTTGGAGGGGGGAAAGTGCATCCTATAGGGCGAAAAATACGGTACCTCTTGAACCACAAAGTCATTTGAAAAAAAATAGGTGTTCAAATAGTGTTTGTAAATTGACCACGGATAGCAAATCTGTTTAAAATCTGGAATATGCTATCTAGGGCTGGCCCCAGTTACAGCAGTCTAGCAGCTGCAAAATAAACAGTAGTTTTCTTTAAAGACAGTTTCACATAACCGCAATGTGGTAATTATGTTTCACTTTGTGCCAAAGAAATGTGCACTCTCCTTTACTGCTAAAAAAACGCTATTTTTGTCCACTACTTAGTGCTGCAAAGTACTGCAATTATATAAACCATATGATCACTATTTCCATTGCTGACTGAGAAAAATCAGATGCCTGTGTAATGTCCCAGTGGTGTGTTTGTAGGCTTCTTCTTTATCTGTTCCATTAAATGTGAAAAATTGGTAAATCATAATACTGACTGAGTTTATATTTATAAGCACAGCAATTCCTCACTCAGCTAGTAACAGGGTTTCTCCCGCCCCCCTCCAAGCATGTCATCTTAAGCTGATGGCCTTAAGTATTTTTGAAGGCGCATCAACAACAGAAGCAAACTGTCAACTCAACCTTATGTCATCCAAGTTTGTAGAGCTTAAAACCCAGTAACCAGAAACAAGCAATCTGGTAGTTCACATGAAGTTCACAGAAAACAGAACATAATCAAAGAAGGAAAATAACATCACTGATCATTATTAAGCCACAGTAAGAGTCCCCTTTGATGTGTTCCATGTGAAAAAATCTCATAATAAAAATACAAAATGACTGGCACTAAATTTAACTATTACATGCAAATGTAAATAAATAAAAAATGCTTGCCAGCAGCAACACAGAAGTGGCATTGAGAAGCTAGCTGATATTTCTTCATTGCAATGAAAAAAAGACCTTACAGCTACATACTTAATAACTTATTTTCAGATATTATGACAAATACACATTGCACCTTGTATTCATATATTCACACCTTGCAATTCAGATATGCTCACACATTAAAGGTCTGATTTAAAACGCTACACATTTACATCCTTGTGTCACAATCCACCTATCTGGGACTTAATAAGAACTCAGTTGAGAAATATTTGACCTAGACTCTTAGAAAAGATCGGTGCATACCACTGGAAACACATTAGCTAGATTTTGTACAAGCACAGTGGAATTTCTGACCTTTTCTCTTTGACTCCTATCTCTTTGAAATTTCCTTTGGGTTCGAATGAATTTTACCAGGTGGCATGAGGGTAAAGCATGTTGAAGAAAATGCCAAGGTTCTAAAAGCGCCCCAGGGCCTCACATTACTAGCTGAATAGTACTTTGCATCTTGACCAATATTCTCAGCTTTGCTAGAGGTGTAAAGTACTTTTTATAGTCAATAAGCTTGATAATGGAGTCAAAACCATTTAAGGTGCTACTTTCCTTATGTCCTCATAAAGAATTTACCCAAACCCAGTTTATGTTCTACACTGCCATGAAGCAGCATAGAAAAAGGACGTTGAGTTTTTCAAGATATGTATTAAATAAGATATGATCTTCTTTAATACATATACAGTGGTACCTTGGGTTAAGAACTTAATTTGTTCTGGAGGTCCATTCTTAACCTGAAACTGTTCTTAACCTGAAGCACCACTTTAGATAATGGGGCCTCCTGCTGCCGCTATGCCACCGCAGCACGATTTCTGTTTTTATCCTGAATGAAGCAAAGTTCTTAACCCGAGGTAATATATCTGGGTTAGCGGAGTCTGTAACCTGAACCGTATGTAACCTGAAGCCTATGTAACCCAAGATACCACTCTATTGTATTAATACAAGATACGATATAGATATGATGAAGAAGGACTGGGGAAGCAGTGGACCTGGCAGTTGTTATCATCCATGACCATTTGTCCAATATGTCTAGAGCTGATGGGAGATGCAAGCCAACAGCATTCAGAGGACTACAGCTTGGCGAGTGCTGGAACAAATAAATGTGCATTCATTTCATATGCACCTTTATATGCCCAGCAGGCAGAAAACAAATTTGCTTACCTTTCCTCAGCTGTATATTGAGCCGCTTCCCTATCTTTTTGGTATTATAGCCAGTGCTTGAAGTGGAGGCGAGGACATTTTGTGGTGATGATGCCAGGCCTAGGGGTGGTTTTCCTGATGAATTCACACTATGAGGTAGTTGTGAGTAAGAGTCCGTCTGATCTGCTTGATGGCTCACTCGGGGTATTCTTTGTAATGTGTGAAGTCCAGTGTGATTAACACTCTTATTGTCCATATATTGGGAATCGGGGCTAAACCGACTGGAGTAGTGAGCATTCTTCTCACTTTGGGATAACTGTTCATATTGCTCTTTCTTCGCTGCCGGAACCACATGGAACCAAATAATGGGTGTTCGCATGGCTTGACGGAACATATGCTGTGCTCTAGGTTTGAGAATGAATGAGAAATTAGCAAATTAAGACTGGCAGACTAGAAGACATTACAAACATAATTACTGATGTTAATTAGGCATCATGAAATGACAAGACATATTGTTGAAACTGAACTGTAAACTAAAAAGGCGAGCTGTAAACTAAAAGGCTGATTTTCTTGGAGTGATCTGCTACAAATGTCTTTTCTACTAAAAGTATATTTCTTTTAGGGCAGCACAGTTGTTGTTTTTTAAAAAAATCTTCTTTGATTAAAAAATGTGGTCCTAAAATTAGCCTAAGATTTCATGTCCTTTTATTAAATTTTATAAATGATGACTTTGAAATTTGTAAGCACCACCCCCCCTAAAAAATATCCTTAATTCAAAATGCAGGTGATCTAAGAATATGATATATTAACTTGCATAAAAGTTCATGGAAACCTACTTCAAAATAATATTAAGCTGTCTAGTTAGCACTTTCTGTTAAATTATAACATGCGTCCCACAGACGGAAAGATTTTCATGCTAAACTTTTTGTATTTGAGCTACTTGCATTCAATGGCCCAGTTAAGAAGTCACACTAAATTATGATGCAGCATTATATATCAGCATTATATCAGCCATAATAAGACTTGGCCTCATGTAGTCCTCCCTCCTTTCACATGAGCAAAGGGAAGAGAATGAAAGCTTCAGCTTTCAATTGTTGAATGAGGCATAGATTCTAGTAATGTCAAAATCAATAAAATATTATTTTTTACTGTTGTTCATTTTAAAAAAAGGATCCAACCATAGTTTGTTCTAATTTAGAAGAAATGTGCTATGTGGCGGAAAATAACCACATGAGCCCTTAATAGCCCATTAACAGTTTACAGTATTAGATCTGATGTCTTCCTTATCCACAATGTTGCTCATACCACAACACAACCCACCAATACATGGTGGAGCTGATTATGAGAAGCATTCTACTACCTTGCACAAAAGTTCATGGAAGAGTGTTACTACAATTCGTCCTTACACTCACAGTTCTTTACAATGGTGCCCCGCAAGACGAACGCCTCGCAAGACGGAAAACCCACTAGACGAAAGGGTTTTCCGTTTTGGAGGCACTTCGCAAAACGAATTTCCCTATGGGCTTCCTTCGCAAGACGAAAGCCCATAGGGAAATCTCCGGGACAGCGGGGAAGCGCAGCGCGTCTTCCCCACTGTCCTCGGACCTCCTCCGAAGCCTGGCGGCGGGGCGGGAACACCTCCTCCCGCCGCCCGGCTTCGGAAGGATGCTCCGAAGCCTGGCGGCGGGGCGGGAACACCTCCTCCCACCGCCCGGCTTCAGAAGGCTGCACCGAAACCGGGCGGCGGGGCGGGAACACCTCCTCCTGCCGCCCGGCTTCGGAAGGATGCTCCGAAGGATGCTCCCGCCGCCAGGCTTCGGAGCAGCCTTCCGAAGCCTGGCGGGGGGGCGGAGAGGTTTTTAAAAAACCCCGGGACAGCGGAGGACTTCTCCGCTGTCCGGGGCGATTTTAAAATGCTGGCGGGCAGGAGCGAAGCCTCCACTGCCGCCCGGCAGCATTTAAAAAAACCCGGGACAGTGGGTTTAAAATTGCCCCGGGCGGCGCGTTTCTCCGCTGTCCCGGAGGGCTTTTGAAGGCAGGCGGGGGGAGCAAAGACTTTCGCCCCCCCGCCCGCCTTCAGAAGAGGTCCTGGACCTCTTCTGAAGGTGGGCGGGGGACAAAAGTCTTTGCTCCCCCCTGCCTGCCTTCCCGGGAGAGCGGAGAAACGCAGCACGTTTCTCCGCTGTCCCCGATGGCTTTTTGAAGGCGGGCAGGGGGCGAAAGTCTTTGCTCCCCCCTGCCTGCCTTCCCAGGGGCTTTTAAATCGCCCCGGACAGCGGAGAAGTCCTCCGCTGTCCAAGGGCGATCTTAAAATGAGGGCGATCTTAAAATGCCGCCCGCTGTTTCTCCGCTGTCCCGGAGGGCTTTTGAAGGCAGGCGGGGGGGGAGCAAAGACTTTTGCCCCCCGCCTGCCTTCAGAAGAGGTCCTGGACCTCTTCTGAAGGCGGGCGGGGGGCAAAAGTCTTTGCTCCCCCCTGCCTGCCTGTCCCGGAGGGCTTTTGAAGGCAGGCGGGGGGGAGGGAGCAAAGACTTTCACCCCCCGCCCGCCTTCAGAAGAGGTTCAGGACCTCTTCTGAAGGCAGGCGGGGGGCAAAAGTCTTTGTCCCCCCGCCTGCCTTCCCAGGGGCTTTTAAATCGCCCCGGACAGCGGAGAAGTCCTCCGCTGTCCCGGGGCGATCTTAAAATGCCGCCCGCCAGCATTTTAAGATCGCCCCGGACAGCGGAGAAGCCCTCCACTGTCCTGGGGTTTTTTAAAATGCTGGGGTGGGAAGAAAAGCCCTTGTCCCCCCCCCCAGCCTTCAGAAGAGGTCGGGGGACAGACTGTCCCCGGACCTGGTCTGAAGTCGGTTTCCATAGGAACGCATTAATTGATTTTTGCTAAACAAAGGTTTTAACACAATGTGAAAGAGCAGCCAAGGAGGAGTTAAGAAGCTTTTGTTTGCTTTGTAATATTGCCCAGATGCAGGACTGTGGTCAACATTAAATACCTGCTAGTTTAAACGAAGTCAAATTCAAACCATGCGTTTCTGAAACTAGCTTGTGATTAACAAAGTTGGAGAACTGAAAGTTTCCAAACCCCTCCTCTCAATCACACAGGAGGAGGGTGTGCACGCACCCAAGGTTTGCTGTGGATCTTTAATTTGAGTGTGATGTTTGAATGTTCTTATTTGATGCATAAAAAGGGTAAAGGGGAGCCCTGACCATTAGGTCCAGTCGTGACCGACTCTGGGGTTGCGGTGCTCATCTCGCTTTATTGGCCGAGGGAGCCAGCGTACAGCTTCCAGGTCATGTGGCCAGCATGACTAAACCGCTTCTGGCGAACCAGAGCAGCACACAGAAACACTGTTTACCTTCCCGCTGGAGTGGTACCTATTTATCTACTTGCACTTTGACATGCTTTCGAACTGCTAGGTTAGCAGGAGCAGGGACCGAGCAACGGGAGCTCACCCCGTCACGGGGATTCGAACCACCGACCTTCTGATCGGCAAGTCCTAGGCTCTGTGGTTTAACCCACAGCACCACCCGCGTCCCATTTGATGCATAGTTGACCTCAATACAGCAGTGTTTGGATAAACCTTTAAACACACAGCAGTTTTATCAGCACTTAAGCACTGCAGGATATTAAAGGACTGAAATTATCACTAATAGTGTCAGAAATATTTTAATTTAGATTGATTATTCATTATTGCAAAATAAAAAAGTAAGATTCCAGCATTGTTTCTCTGACAAAAATCTATGCACCACAAATATTACTGAATGTTCAGCTGATATAAGCTTCACAATTCCCTCCTGCCCCATAATTTATTTTTTAAATTAAATTTCCACGAGAACTAGAACTCATGAGAACCAGAATCTAGAGGGGAGGGCACAATAAAATGACCCAATGCCCTGCTACACAGAAAGTTATAATCTTACTGACTTCTTTGGGGAAGCTTCAGCATTTCTATACACAAGCGCATTTCACATGCAAAATCACATTACTGTTTTAGAAACAGTGAACACTATGGTTTCGATGGTGTGTTAATGTTAAGCGCTTCTCCACCTATAAACAAACAATATCATTCAAGTTAACTGGGGGTAGAGGGAAGAAAAACAGCCCTGTAACAATTTTAAATTGAGGAAAGAAAGTTATGCAATGGCAGTCATTATCCTGTAGCAATTGTAAACTGAGTAATTAAAGAAACACTGTAATGATCTACAAACACACTCCTCTTTAAAGAAAGAACTTACTTAAGCAATTTGTTCTTGAGCATTTTATTCCTCCCCAAATTACTACCATGTGTGATGGTTAAAGGTTAAGAAAAGCAATAAACTGTAAAGATGCACTTACTGCTCAAATCTTCTATTGCGAAGGTCCCCATCATTAATTCTAACAATACAGTCATTTTCATGAAAGAGGTTTTCTTGTTCTGCTTTCCCACCTTTCTCCAGTCGCTTTACTAACAATCCCAAAGTTCTGGAACATAAATTATGACAAATTATCAGTACACTTGCAAAGTTTCCAGTGATTTGGGTCAGAAGAATAAACCCTATCCTAATGCTAAAGTGCCCCCACTTCCCTCAGAAACAAGTCACTCCAGATAAATGTTCTTCAACATTTACAAACCCAGGACCCACCTTTAAACCAAACATGCATTTCAGGATTCATTTCTTAATCTTTTACCACATATTTTGGTGGTAGTGTTGCTGTTGCCACCCATCTTGGATCTGGCTGTGACCTAGGACTCAGCTAAAGGTAAAGATAAAGGGACCCCTTACCATTAGGTTCAGTTGCGGACAACTCTGGGGTTGCGGCGCTCATCTCGCTTTATTGGCCAAGGGAGCCAGCGTACAGCTTCCGAGTCATGTGGCCAGCATGACTAAGCCGCTTCTGGCGAACCAGAGCAGTGCATGGAAACGCCATTAACCTTCCCGCCAGAGCAGTACCTATTTATCTACTTGCACTCTGGTGTGCTTTCGAATTGCTAGTTTAACAGGAGCAGGGACCAAGCAACGTGAGCTCACCCCGTCACAGGGATTCGAACCACCGACCTTCTGATCGACAAGACCTAGGCTAGGTTTAATCCACAGCGCCACCCGCGTCCCTCAGCTATAGGACTCAGCTATGCAGCTGCAAATAAAACGTTTTAAGTGTGTTTTAAGTGCAATTTACAATGAGACACTAGATGGCGATTGTGAGCCTTATAGAAAATGTAATGTATTTTTAAAAACGCTTTAAAAAAAGCATTTTCAGAACTTTTTAATATGTGTGTAGATTCCGCCCCAATGTGGGAAAACCTGTATTAGAGGAAGGTGTGCACTTTTGCAAAAGCGAGAGTGGGGAACTCTTGGCCCTCCAGATGTTCTTGAACTACAACTTTCATCAGCGCTATATCGTTTGGCACCCAGATATCTGAAGAACCTGTGTCTTTAAAACTTTTGACAGAGTAGAGTTTTGAACTGGCTGCTATCATTCTGTGTCTGTTGTATTATTATATTAGTGTTGTAAACTGATGTATTTTCTCCTTTTTGTACTGAATAGTAAGATAAACCTTTTTCAAAATAAAAATAAACTCCTTAACATAATGCTGCTTCAGAGAGTCCCTTTAATTGCACGTGCTCAGAAGAGATGTCGAGATAAGTCTTTCCAGATGTTTTCTCTCTCCAGAACAAGCTAGACAGGATGGCGGTAGGGATTCTGCCTGGCAACCTCTTGACAACACCAACCTCTTGACAACACCAACCAAAATCTCCAATTATTCTAACACACAACTTCAGTTACTAGTCCTGACCCACTCCACCCATTATTCAACACTTGCAGAGGCTGTATACTATACTTAGCGAAGTAAACACACAAATATGGATGGCATCTTATATGCCTCCTTGCACCAACTCCTGCAGCCAAGCTGTTGCCAAACGTATTGTTCTGCTTTCCTTGGGAAATGTCAGCGAGGCTGAGAGCGGGGTCTTGTTGTCTGGGCAGCCCAGGACCTCCATAAACACACTGCCCAGGCTTAAACCCAGAGAGGTCACTTTAGTGCTGCTAATGCAGCAAAAAACAAGCAGAGGGCAGCAGTTACAAGTTGCCAGCCTCTGCTGCCACAGAAGGCGCTGTGATTCTCCAGGGGTTTGATTTCACCCCTGGAGGCACACTCTATTTTCTCTTGAGACAAATGAATGTCAACAAATCCCTTCCCCTCAGTACGATTTTCTATCTTTGTGTACATGTTGGTAAAAAGAGAAAGAGGGAAGTGTGGGGAGAGTCAGAGGTAAAGAAAATGGAGAAAGGGGGGGAATAAATTAAAAAGAGAAATGAAGACGGCAAAAAGATGAACAGTGGGTCCCATGCTGCAGACTGAGTTAAAGGTGATTACAAAATTCACCAGTTTGCTTTGAGATTTATTTTATTTTATATTTTTGAAGAGTTTTTGTTTTAAAAGTATAGACCACATTTGTGTGTATTTGGTTAAATTTTAAGTGGATTGTGTCGCTTCATACCATAGTTATTTCAATTACAACTCAATTTTATCCAAAGGGACGGTATCAGCACATGAGTATAGAGGCCAGAGAAGGCCAAGCCACACTTTGGCAACCCAAGTAATGTTCGTATTACATTGCTGGCAATAACACAGTCAGTTTTCATTAGGATACGTCACAATCATTTTCATACAGCTGGGTGGCAGTTGTGGGTCATCCATATCTTCAAAGGAAATATGTCTATAAATTCAAAACAATCTAGACATCAATAAAACATTAGCTGCTTATTTCCAGTTTTACCAGTGTCTATAATTTAGATGTAGAAAGGGAGTGTTGGCATATGTTATTGAGTTTATTTCAGTTACAGAATTAGGCTAAAAAAGCTTGTGAAAATGTGGTGACAAGAGCTTTACTATTTCAACATTTGGACTTAAGCTCTATAAATGTGCATACAGACACAAGAGTTAGAGCATCTTTAAGCTTTCTCAGTTTATTTCCATCCCTCAAAATCTCCCTTCTGTAAAAGTAACAACACCACCATAATAAAGCAGAATGCAGCTCTTACTTTTAACAGGGGCATACGTTTATAAAGTATGGAAGGTCAATAAAACCTATTCCCTATTCTGGAGCCTTGCTGCCTTCAACTATGTATACATTGGAAACACAGAATGCATACAGACACACACAGTGTGTGTGATGTATTCATTCATAATGGCAAGATGCATTAAAGCAAGGAGAGGAAACAGTGTCCCTCCAGAAGTTGTTGGACTACAAAAGACACAGGTTCCCCATCCTTGCACCAAAGGTACTAAACACATTACCAGGTTCACGAGCAAAATTTTCTTCTGAACTTTCCATAATTATAGAGTTTGGATTTTTGACCTTGTTTCCCCAGTTACCTACATGTGCCCTATAGACAGAAGTAGAGAAAGCTAACATCTGGAGGCGGTTGGAGGATGGATGGTGGCTAACAGATTGAGGTTGAATCCTGACAAGACAGAAGTACTGTTTTTGGGGGACAGGAGGCGGGCAGGTGTGGAGGATACCCTGGTCTTGAATGGGGTAACTGTGCCCCTAAAGGACCAGGTGTGCAGCCTGGGAGTCATTTTGGACTCACAGCTGTCCATGGAGGCACAGGTCAAATCTGTGTCCAGGGCAGCTGTTTACCAGCTCCATCTGGTATCTAGGCTGAGACCCTATCTGTCTGCGGACTGCCTCGCCAGAGTGGTGCATGCTCTGGTTATCTCCCGCTTGGACTACTGCAATGCGCTATACGTGGGGCTAACTTTGAAGGTGACCCGGAAACTACAACTAATCCAGAATGCGGCAGCTAGACCATATAACACCAGTCTTGAAAGACTTACATTGGCTCCCAGTACGTTTCCGAGCACAATTCAAAGTGTTGGTGCTGACCTTTAAAGCCCTAAATGGCCTCGGTCCAGTATATCTGAAGGAGCGTCTCCACCCCCATCGTTCTACCCGGACACTGAGGTCCAGCACCGAGGAACTTCTGGCGGTTCCCTCACTGCGAGAAGCCAAGTTACAGGGAACCAGGCAGAGGGCCTTCTCGGTAGTGGCGCCCTCTCTGTGGAATGCCCTCCCACCAGATGTCAAAGAGAACAACAACTACCAGACTTTTAGAAGACAACTGAAGGCAGCCCTGTTTAGGGAAGCTTTTAATGTTTGATGTATTACAGTATTTTAATATTTTTTTGGAAGCTGCCCAGAGTGGCTGGGGAAGCCCAGCCAGATGGGCGGGGTATAAATAAATAAATTATTATTATTATTATTATTATTATTATTATTATTATTATTATTATTATATCATTATTGGGCTCAAGGGTTGTTTCTGAGAATGATGGCTCTGTAGTTATCAAGGAATGCAGAGCAAATTTGGGTTCTTGGAGGCTTAAGCTATGGCCAGAGATACTGATGTGGGGTAGGACTAAGAAGAGGGCACTTTAGCTCTGTGAAACCTGGCACAAACGAATAATGATGTTTGACAAGGTTAGTCAAGTTAGTTTTCAGACCCCAATATAACTGCCACACCTGAGCAGAGTACATTTCATCTGATCCTACTAATACATAGACTTGCACCAAGCTATCTTTGTGGCTGATTTCTTTAATTGTACTTTTTAGACATTATGCCTTTTACCAAGGACTTCTCCAGCAGAAGTGAGGTTTCGGGGAAACTGTTTGGGGAGAAATTAAAATGTATAAAGGATACAGAAATGCAGAGAAGTTTTTACTAGAAGTGGGTTGAAGACTTGTATCTGGCAAACTTTTACACAGAATTTATATACTTCCTGGTCTCTCCCTCTCTCTCATGTGTGTGTGCGTGTGTGCGCACACATGTTGTCTCTACAAAGCTGAACGCAGCTTCAAATCTGCTTAGGCTTTCCTACTTGCTTATTGGAGTTGGAGCCCCCCATTAAATGCCCATTCACTTCCCATATAGAACCCAATCACTCTCACGGCTGTGTATTTATTGAATATACAAAACAGCTAATTGCCATGTGTGGGGCCTACTTGTGGTTGGCCTTCAGCCGTGTGATAATTACATCTCTTCAGCTGTGCATGTTTTTGCCCAGGCTACTATAGAAAGGAGGGACAAAGCAATATTTGTGAATAACAGATGCAGCATTTAAACTGAGCTCTCTTACATTAATTTAACTTGTGGGTTTTGTTTAATGAAAGTAATTGCAGTTTTGACGAACAGATTTTTTTTTTATTACACATTGTTATCGCACGACAGGATTAATAAGATTTCGACTTGTTTAAGGGCTTATGTAGTTAGTGGAGATGAGAAACGTTGTGTAGGTAGTATGGTGTGTTTTGCATTATTATTAGAAGATTCAAAATATAACTTTCTTTAAAACAGGAAGCAACAGCTATCATTATACAGAAATAAAATTAACATACTCATTATTAAATGCAGAGGTGTCTGGGAGAAGAGATGAAATATTAACATCCTATCATAAATGTAATTTTTCAAACCAC